ACTTCTCTTTACTCCATTCTTGGTATATATTTAATGCTATAATTCCTATTGTCGCCCTAATCTCTTGTCTATGAGAGTTTCATCTTGCCAGCTCTGGTCTTGCCAATCACAAACCCTTCAAGAAGGTGGATTCCAGAGCTGGTGAGGGGTTTGGGTAATAAAGTAATGCAAACTCAAACCAAAAAATGTGACTTTTTGTTTCCCCTTCAAGTTGGCAATTATATGTGAACTAATGACTCTATCCAAAGGTGGCAAAGGCTGGGGGGACAAATAAGTATAACTTTTTTAAAGTATATGTCAAAAGCTCTAAAAAGTAAACTCCTGCTTTGAGCTTAAATTTGAACTTAAATTTGATTTCATTTTGAAGAAATGTGGATATGCTTTAAAAATAGTATCATGCATGCTCAGCACTGCATTATTTATAAGAGAAAAATTAGCAACCACTTGAACAAAAAGCAAGTTGCAGAAAAATTAATATCACAAAGTTAAAAATGGAACAAAACATGGCAAAATTGAAAGACAAGCAGGGGAATTGTGTCCATAAAATGTAGGATGATGGTGTGGGGAGGAAGGGGCAGAGATTCATGGGATCTCGGTTCTGTTTCTTACATGGGGAGGGGGCAGTGTGTTCCTGTAGTTAGAGCTGGTCTGCACCAGCTTCTCTCCAATGTGAGGCTGCCAACTGCAAGGCTACAGTAAAGGAGGATTTCTCACAAGGGCGGGCCTGGAGTTGGTAGGAGTTCTCGGCGCCACACTGCTCCTGTTGTCTTCCACAGCCTGGGATGCCCCCACTGGACCCTCACATCCAGGCAGGAGAACATGAAGGGGAATGCCTGGGGCCTGGGAGTGTTGCAGGACTGGGCATGGAAGCCTGCAAGGGGGCCCCTACCCTGCTGGAGCGCTGGGGCAGGTGAGCGCTGGGAAGAGGAACAGGTTCTTCTGACCATCTACTGGCATCTCCCACTACATGTTAGGCATGAGCTGCACACATTTGTTATTTAAAATTGAAAAACAAAATGGAGCAACATAAAAGTCTTACCAGAGAAGGTGGGGTAAATTGCGGGAAGCCCTCTGACAGGGTACTATTTATTATGAGCAGACTCCTTAACTGCCAGGGAAAACAATGGAGAAAAAAAGATTCCTGTTTTGATCCTGGTGTTCCAGAGGCCAGAGCAAGACAGCAACCTTCAGCTGCGCCCCCAGCATCCTGGGGGGCAGTGCTTTTCCTCTTCTTTTATCTTCATGCTTTCCTGTGCAGTCTACATTTTCTGCACCCAGCACGTATCACTTTCATAATTGGATTTAAAAAATTAAAGACATGGATTTGGTTTTGAAGAAAGAACAGTAGGAAGCTGCCAAGAAGTGCTAAGCGGGGCCGCCCTGCAGCAACGTCCTGAGAGGGGGAGAAGGGCGGATGCTAGCTGAGCTGTCACCTGGGTGCTGAAGGAGCATAGCCAGGTGGGGAGACCCCGGTGTAGAGGACTGCCAGGTGGGAGGCACAGTCTCCTGGCACCAGTACCCCTTGTCCTCCCGGACCAGAACCCTGTGCTCGGGGTGCTGGATCTTCCCTCCCCACAAGAGGGCCATCTTGCCTCTTTATAGACAAGGAAACAGAGACACAAGGGGCCCCATGCCCCCAGCTGATGGGTGCTGTCACCTGGGTCCCAGCACCCTGGAATGGATTCTGACTCCCTTTCGCCTCAGCCCAGCTCTGCCAGGACAAGGGTGCACGCTGAAGGGTGTGTCTGCAACCTTGTCCACCACATCTGCCTGTCATGGCTTCTTTCTGTGCCCGTGTTCCCTTCACCCAGGACAGAGGGAGTTGAAGAGAGGATGATGGCCGGGGGAGTAGCGGTGGGGAGACAGCTGATACCTGAGTTCAGCGCTCCCAAACTTTCCTCCAGGACTCTGGGCCTGACACAGTGGCCGGGCCTAGGCGATGAGGAGGCCCAGCAGCTGCAAGGTGGATATGCCTTCCCACGTCTTCCAGAAACGAACTTTACCATCAGGGCACTGTGTTCAGGCCAAGACCATCCAGCCCTCTTACAAGTGCCTGGGAGTTTGCGCCACCTGGAAGGAAGATCCTGGCTTTGCACCCGCCCCCACCACCAGCTCAGAAAAGGAGCATGGGGACACCAGGGCTGGGAAGCAGTTAGACCAGGTTCCCACAGAACGCATGGGGCCCAGATCCCATGGGCAGTGGGGTGGAATCTCTGCAGAGTGAGGGGGAGGGAGAGTAGACACCTTCCAAGGTCCGACCTCCACTCAGCAGATTGCCCTCAGGAGATCCCATCACTGTCCTGTTGTCCCCTCAGGCGTTCTTGGGCCCAGCAGTGGATGTCAGAGTGGGAGCAAACCAAGACCATCAATTCTGAGAGGAGAAAGTAAATCAAGGACCTCCCAGCAGCTACTTGGTTTTGGGGAGCCGTGGGAATACACTCTGCAACAGATCTGCATCTGTGCACGGAGAGTGCACCACGCTGGGAGGGACGGTGGTTGAAGAGGCCGAACTGCTGCATCTGTCCTCCCAGATGCTGGTAGCAAATGGCTCCTTCCTGGGACATCTGAGTCTCCCTGGAGTACTTGGTGAGACTCACAGGAGTGACAGATTTATGGCTGAGCAAGGGACATTTGGGAGGAGACTCCCCGATGGTCGTAGCTTCAGCTGTCAGCCCAGGAACACATGCCCGTGGGCTCCCTCTCGACCTATCTCCTTTGGGGGTTCCCCAACAGCACCTGCGCAGCACAGCTTTTCAGGAGTGACTCTCCAGCACCTGTGGAGACTGGAAGGAACCCATGGAGGGCCTCACCCTCACTCCCAGCCCAAGGATGCCAGGAAGCAACTCCCCCTGTATCTCCCAAGACTATGATTTGTCACCTTAGGAACTAGTGTTTAGCCCTGGAATCTGCCAAAAGGTGTTTAGAGAATTGTGCTGCTTTACTAAAAGTTGAAAATTAGGCAGAGGAGTTTGAATTTTACCTTCATCCCTTTTATAATTAACCTAATTAAAACCTCACTGGATCTCATTATCAGCAATCAACCAAATATAAGATCTGGGCATTTTCTTACCGGCTCTCACCCCCTAGGTTTCTGACAACCTAAGAGCTGAGCAGATTCTTACAGACTTTCACTCCTCAATGTCTGATGAAGTATCAGGCCCCCAGAGCACCTGAGCCTGGAGATTTGGTGCCTCCTAGGAGTGTACTGGTTAGCAGAAAATTCCTACTGGTTCTTGAAGAGTGTGAAAAAAAAAATCTCCCGTTAATGTTACACTGTTTCATGTTGAAATGACAGTATTTTTGAGTATCTGATGAAGTATCAGGCCCCCAGAGCACCTGAGCCTGGAGATTTGGTGCCTCCTAGGAGTGTACTGGTTAGCAGAAAATTCCTACTGGTTCTTGAAGAGTGTGAAAAAAAAAATCTCCCGTTAATGTTACACTGTTTCATGTTGAAATGACAGTATTTTTGATACTGGACTAAACATATTAACATAATTTTATCTTTTTTAACAATGAAAATTTAACATGGGGCTCACCTATCTTTAATGAACAGTTCTGATCTAGAACACACATCTAAAAGCCTATCTCCTTGTAAACTGTGAAGCCAGATGCAAAATTCCTTCCACAAAAACACAATGGATTGTTATTGTAAGAGTTCTGTTCAGGGCTTTTGAAAGTACATGCTGGGTGCCAATCTCCTGTCCCACACAATGAGTTCCAGGATGTAGCAGTGACTTAGGGGCTTCAGGAACCAGAACTATGTCATTTCTGGAATCCAAAGGAAGACCGAGCAGCCCTCTGCAGCCCTCCTGTTGCTGCTGATAAAGAGGTCAGGTGCCCTCCTCACTGTGCTCTTGGGACCTGCACGGGAACAGCTTCCTTTACAGAAGCCCAAATCTGCATGGCTGGTGCCAAAGGGAGCTTCTAGTAGGAAATGGAGCCCAGATTAGGAATGTTTTCACTGATACATTAGGAAATCTCTAATCCACTAACTCATTAAACTGTAATGCTAAACCTTCTCCGACCAAGTAGAATCCCCTTTCTGAGCTCACCACATGGAATCCCCTTTATGAGGAAGGGGCTCCAAGGTCATTAATTTCAGCTCACAACACCTCCGCAGAGCTGTTCCCCAGAACACCACCTGGGAGCTCATCTCCCTCATGTGCCTGCAGCCACCTCCGTCTGCCTTTCAGGTTTCACGGGGAGGGCGAGGAACCCTGCACCGCCTCCTCTGCACACTATCAGCTTCCACCACCTCAGATGTTTTCTCCATCCGTCAATCCCACCTGCCATCTTGTGTTCCAGAAATTTCTTTCACTTTTTTCCTTGAGAACCATTATGGATTATTTGAATTTCGCTCACTGGGACAAGTGTGCAGTTTGCCATCTCAAGTCATCACCTTTGCCATGTGTGTGACCCTGCTGTTATTTTACCAGGAGACACTATGAGCGGGTGGATGTCCGATGTCCGGGTAAGAAGTGTAAATTAACGCCAGGCAGCTTGCCCTCTTCCAGGTACTGTCTGTCCAAAATGATAAAACGCTTCTTTATAAACATTCTCAATTGTGACTCATCTAGAATGCAGCTTAACTGTGGCCACTATATCCTTCAGTATCTGTGAGAGAAATAGTTTCTAATCAAGAAGAGCTGGATTTTTCATGAAGATTCATTTCTGTAGGAACTAGGTTAAGGGCCCCAGGTTAACTAATGTCAATACTGGCTGGGAGGTTACCGCACGAAATGTTTCCTACCCTCTTCAGGGAATCGTTTTCTTCGTTACAATTTTTAAATGTGTTAGTGAACCACAAGAGTGTGTGTGTGTGTGTGTGTGTGTGTGTGTGTGTATCACATATGACATCTAATTTCCAGTTCTCCCCAGATTAGGTGCATTACCTCCCACCCCCACCCGGCTGAGCGCCCCACCCTTCCCCACTAGAAACTTCTAGAAACTAGAAACTTCTCTCCTACCCCATTTTCAACCCCCAGTAAAACATTCAAAGCACATGCCCAAATTTATTTTTATTTTGCATACATAGGAAACAGAACCCTATCAAAAGAGAACAACAAAAAAGAAATGAGCCAAGTGTTGCAGAAGAAAAACATGCATCAATCTGCTCCAAGTTCACACCTAACCACTGACTACAGAGCTGTAACACACAGGCCGACTCAGTCTAAGAGGTGGGCGCCATCCACCAACAACACACAGGACACGAGGACTCGGGGAAATGTCGCCACAATGGAATTTTCACATGGTATCAGTGTTCACTGCAGCAGGTTCTCACCCAGGTTCAAGAGAAAACAAGATTTAATTTACACAAACACGGGAATATAAAATTGCTGAGCACTACCTAAGTCATTCAATCGCTTAAGACCATTTGCTATCAAAAAGACATACAAGGTTTAATCATGGACATCTGGGTGCTCCTCAGCCACACCAAGATTCACTTCCAGGGGCAGCTCTAGTGTGCTTCTGTATTAAAAAAGTAAAGGGAGAAACTGAAGTTAAAAAGGTAAAACAAATGACCTAGAGGAGGAGGAACTTTTTGGACCATGTTGTCCCTGGTTGTAAACAGCAAACATTGTGCTTTGTTGTTTTGTTTGAATCAAGGACCCAAAGGTGAAAGGTCCTGAGTCAGGGACAGTAGTTCAGAGGTCACTCGAGGGTGGTCAAAGACCGGGCAGCAGCATCTATGTTCACGAACTGTGTTTCCAGGGCATTTCCTGTGGAATTCCCCAGAGGCTCCCAGATTCCCAATCCTTTGAGCAGTGGCTGTGGCCACATCCCAATTCCTCAACACCCTGCCCTCCACCTCCCCCAAAGCTCATAAAATGTCCCAGCAGAGCAGAGACAATCAGACTCTTGGTCTAAAGGGAAGAAAATATCAGGTATCTACTCCACTGAGCTACGCTGATGCTCAAGTTCAATGAGCAACAATTTCTGAAGAGGCTCTAATTAGTTCATTAAAAATAAACCCCTCCCCCCACCAGTCCCACAACTACACACACAGGGATGGACACTGCGCTGCTTTGCCCTCCAACACTGACCCCTGCTCACTGTCCACACCCAGTGACCACTTGCAAGATCCTGGGGGACCCTGCTTCTAATCCAGAACTTGTATTTCATTCTATCTGATTACAGTGTCAGTGAAGTCAATTCAATTTTAGATCTACCTGCTGTCCTGGAATTTTGCTTTCCTGTGTTTTTCCCAGCAAATTCCTCCTCCTCAGAGTCCATCACGCATCTTCTGAGGTTAACCCAGGGCCCTGGCCTGAATCTGTTGAGCGTGCCCTGCTGGGATACCTCTCTGATGGGTCGCTACGACTCCCGGACTTGAAAGTGTCCATCAAGCCCACCAGAACTGCCTCAGGGAAGGGTGCAGAGATCTCATCGTGACAAAGAACAGAAAGCTACTGACCTCTAAGGATGGGACCCTACACAGCTTCCATAAATACACTAAAAGGGGGAAATAATTATATTTTCCAAGTTAGACCAAGAGCTCAACAAACACCAGGTCCCAGTTTGAGGCAAGGAATTTAAATAACTTTCCTTAGTGATTTTCAGGTGAGTCTGGATCCACATCTCCACGGGCGAAGGCCGTGCTCAGCTCTTCCAGTGCCAGTACACAGAAGGGAGCCTCCCTCATCTTCGGGAAGTGAGTAGAGACAGAAAGTGCTAAGAGGCTCTTCTCCACTGAATATTTAACATCTTCTCAAAGAGGAAGACTGAAAGGACAACAGGCCCAAAGTGGCAACTGAGGAGTCTCATTCCAGTCATGCTGCCTGTGGTGTGTGGGCCCTTCCATGTGGTGGGAGGCAGCCGGCCCCTTGGCGTCCCCCCCAGGCCACCTGCACACGCTGGCTCTGCCTCGCTGCCTCCTTCTAGTCTCTCCTGAGGATCTGGGTGCCCCCTGAGAGTGTCAGCCCTTGGGTATTGCTCACACTCTGCCAGACCACAGATTACATCAGAAACAGAAGCAACGGGGAGAGACATGGGGTGAATTCAAACATTGGTCCTCCACAGGAAACCTGAAAGGGGGCCGGGCTTGCACTGAATACCAGAGAGGCATCTGCCCTTGGTGGCTCATGAGACCGTTCCTGGAAGTGAACACAGATGGAGACAGGGAGGCCGAGGACAGAGGCTTTCCCTGGGTCCCCTGCGACATCACACAGGCAGGTGCCAGCAGCATCTTCTATTTAGCCTTTACCACCTGTTCATAGGGGGGTGGGGGAGTGTTGCAGTAGGAAGGAGGTGGTGGGTAGGCTGTGCTTCCCTGGGGTGAATTCGGTTGGATCTGGAAAGTCATCGCCATGGGATTTCCGGCAGGATTCATCCCCGGTCCTCCAGGGTCGGTGTAATATGGCAGCCCGGGGGGCTGGGCTCCTGAAAGACAGACATGATGCAGATGAGAGCACCGCAGAGAAAACCAACTGCCCCTCACACCCAAGCACTCCCAGCAGGAGGGGTGTGGAGACCACGCATGGCCCCTAACTTCATCATTTTCTCAGTAGATGAGTACCAAGGACCCTCAGGCCCAGGCACTGGCACACCTGGGACAAGGGGCTGAGCCAGAGCTGCACACAGGCCCCTGGAGAGTCTGCCCTGTGACGGGTGGATGGCTGAGGGAGGCTAGATGATTGGAAGGACATTAACCAATTTGGGCATGGAATGGGGCGGAGGCTCAATGATGCTCACCCGAGCTCTGAATGACAGACCAGGCAGCAAGGCACAGAACCATCAGCGGAGAGGGTCTATCCTTTAGACCCCAAAACCAGGTCAATTCACAGTTACCCATGGGGGAATCTGCACAATACCAGGCTTCCTGACTCTCAGCAGAATTATCACTGGCAGCTCCACAGCCCTTTGGGAACAGTGTGCGGAAGGATATTTCTGAAGCACAGTCTCCATGGCCACCCTCTCGGTTAGCACTAGTCCCTCAAGGATTATCTGTCATCAAGTGAGTCCAAGTTTATAGAAAGGGAGACAATCTACACAGCAAACACCAGCAGGTGGTATCATGAGTCTATGAAACCTCTCTTTGGAGGAGGAGGAGGTCTTCTCCAAGAGTGGGGCTGTAGGGTACAGGACTTGGGGCTCCCTCCAGAACACACAGAGTGACAAGAAATGACAGTTTGGTCCTTCTGCCCCAAATCTAGATCTCGTTCTCATTTAATGGGTAGACTATATGAACTGCTGATTAGAGCCTATTTTTTAGATCTGGTTCCTCTCTTCCTCTTATCAATGATAACACTATAGAACACTGAATATATGAATAATCAAGAAAAGAGAGTGGGGGCTTTAGGGACTTCCTGGGTTAAGATAATCTGTGAGTGAACTCAGGTCCACTTGAATTAGACCTTTTAACCCAGGGAGCTTCTCAGAACATTAGCATTTTCCCAGTGTGAATATTATGTGTAAATATTATGTAAGATTATTTTTCTGCAAGGCCCTTGCTACCACAGTCTGAATGAATAAAAGTTTGATTGATGACATTCATCATTTGTTCATAGGGAATGAGGGGATATTGCAGCAGGAAAGACATTTGCAAGGTATGCAAGTGTCCCAAGCCTCTAGCTGGCATAAGTCACATTTTAGAATCTACAAATATGCTGAAGGAGAGAATGTAGAATAGCAACGCATCCCAGAGTGTCATCAGGAGGGACAGGAGGGACGTCAGCGCTCATGCCACCTTCTTGCCAATGGTCAATGACTTAATTAATCGAGCCTATGTGATGAAACCCCAAAAGATGGGGCTAGGCAAGCTTCTGGTAGGTGAACATGTGGAGACCCTGGGACAGTGCCATGCCTTGACAGGTATGGAAGCTCTGTGCCCTTTCTCCAGATCTTGCCTTTAGCATTTCTTCCATCTGGTTCCTGAGTTATATCATTTTATAATAAATTGGTAATCTAAAGAGTAAATGTTTCTCTGAGTTCTATGAGTGATTCTAGCAAATTAGTAGCCCCAAGGAGACACTAACTGGAATCGCCAATCTGCAGCCAGGTGGTCAGAAGCACAGGTGTGAAAACTAATCTATAGAAACCCTATTTAAATGAGGTTGGGAGACTAGTGTGTCCACATATGTATACGCCAACAAACTGCTTGATAACTTCCACTGTCCTATCTTCAAGTTCACTGATTCTTTGTTCTGCCTGTTCAACTCTGCCTTTGAACCACCTACCACCCCCTCCACTGAGAATTTTTCACTTCAGGTATACTTTCCAGGTCCAGACTTTCTAATTGTTTTTTGGGGCTTTTTATCTTTTCACTGATATTTCCATTCTGGCACACACTTGTTTACTTTCGCCACATGTTCCTTTAGTTCTTTGAGTATCTTTAAGAAAGTTGTTTTAAAGATTTGTCTGGCATATGTTCCACTAGGTCTTTCTCAAGGACCCATTATTGATTTCCTTTTATTTCCTGTGACTCAGTCACACTTTCCTGTTTTTCTGTGTGCCTGGTGATTTTTTTGTTGGATGCTGCATTTGAGACTAAAAATGTGGTAACTGTGACAATCAGGTTCTCCTCCATCCACAAGATTTACTGTTTTCTACTATTTTTTTTTGTTAATAATCTTTTTTTTTTTTTTTTAATGATTGCTGTCAGCTGTCTCATGCCAAGGATCAGCCTGGCATGTGGATTTAGTATCTTCTCAGGTCTTTCCTGACCCTTTCCTGGATACTGAAAGTTGCTTTCTAATTTTCCTTGTACATGCAGTTTGTTTTAATGTCCTTGCCTTTGGTGTGTAATTCCCAAAAGGGAAAAAAGAGAATGAGATATGTTAAATTCCCTAGAAGTCACTCTGGTAAAACCATGGGGGAAGGTGAGACAACAGTGGCAATCCTTCTTTGTACCTTTGTGGTCAGAAGCAGCAACTAGCTATCAGAGTATAGAAATCTGAGATTTGAAGGGCAGGGTTATTTATTCTCCCCACCCCCATGGCTCTTACAAGCTATGTGCAAGCTGTTCCAGAAGCAAGTGCACAGTTGCCACCATGGTCTACAAGTGAGGCTGGGTAGGTGCTACTGTGCAAAGACTGAAATTAGCGGCAAGTCTTCACTTGGAAGTTGCAAGCCTTCCATAGACCTCAAAGTTCAAAACAGTTACATCAAACAATTTCTGATTGTGCCAAGATGAGGGCAGAGAGATTCCTGGAGAGATTCAAGCACCCACTATTGATTTCCTTCCTACTCCCCATCTGGTGGAGTAGGTGCTTCCTACTCCACATCTTCCCAGAATTCTCAGTTAACTATTGCTTTTTGATATAACTTAAGATGTTAATAGGTTGCCCGATGTGATACTAGCCTTACTCTCTAATGAAGATCATACTTGTTGATGCTAGTTTTTTACATCCTGTTGTAATTCACTGCCTAGGATGACTGTATTTATGATCATTAAATATGATTCATTATGATTTTACTTTGGTGTTACTAAGTTACCCTAGCTTTCCAAAACAAATTAGTTTCCATGACTTCTATGCTTTGTAACAAGAATGATTTCTTGAAAGTTTCCAAGAAGACAAATGAATTTAGAACTATGCTGGAAGATAATTCTTTGTAAACTTCTTCAAACTCTTGTTTGATATTTGGTCCAATGAAAATCTATGTTCTAATGGTGATGTAGTTTCCTATCTTACCAAGATTTTCTATTTCCTGAATACATCTTTGTAACTTTTAATGACTTCTGAACCAGTAGTGTTTTCATTTATGATTTTATCTTTTCTATGTCTAGCTTTCTTGATTAGATTTATCAGGGGTGGAACTTACAATGTCATTAACATTTATTGATTTTTAACAAGCATAACTTTTAAATTTGCAAATATACTTTTTTTGTTTTATGTAATTAATTTGTATTTTTAGCTTCTTCCTGCTTTCTGTGAGTTTATGAATTTTGGAATTAATTTCTGACTTCTTTTAAAGCGGCCAGTTCATCTACTTATATATTTTAAATGGTACTCAGTTCATGTGCATTGCATATATTCTTATATATAACTTTTTCATTGATTACTTTATTCATGTTGTATTCAACAATTAGTGGACTTTTACTATGTACTGGCAATGTTCTAGACACTCAGGACACAGCAGTAATAAAAACAGAAAACCTAAAGTTCTTATGGAGTGAGAATTTAGAGAACAATGAGCAAGATATATAACAAGTCTGTATTATGCAACTTCAGAAGTGCTAAGAAAGACATAAATGAAACAGGATGTTCGAGAAAAAAGAGAAAACATCAACAAAGTGTTGTCAAGGTTGTAGTGAAAAAGTAATTCTCATTTACTGTTGGTGGAAATGCAAGTTGGTGAAGCCTCTTTGGAAAATAATAGGGAGATTTCTTATGAAAATTCTGTCTGATATAGCAATACCTCTATTAGGTTATCTTTCCTACAACTATGAAAATGCTAATACAAAAAGATTTATGTATACCTATGTACAAAGCAGTACTGTCCACAAATGCCAAGTCTTGCAACCAACTTAAGTACTTTCTTTTTTTTTTAAACCTGATGTCCTTTCTTTTTTTTTTTTTTAAAGATTTATTTATTTATTTATTTATACAAGCGCTGGGTACAGTCAGAAGTGCGGGAGGGTGAGAGAATTCACCAGAGTCAGAGCGGGGAGCAGAGCGGGCAGAAGGACCGAAATACACTGCTGAGGGGAGCAGCGGGCGGCAGGAGAGGTCTATGCGCCATGCAGGACCCTCCTCCAGTGGCTAGGGAACAGCCAGGGATCGAACAGGCTTCGGGCAGCTTCGCAACCCAGTGCTCAACCGCTGCACCACTGGGGAGGCCCCAACTTAAGTACTTTCAACAGATGAATGATTAAAGAAACTGTAAAATATACACTCATTGGAATACTATACAGCTGTGAAAATAAGGTGAAATTGTGGTATTTCTGCCAAAATGGATGGACCTGACAGCAACTATGTTAAGTGAAATAAGTCAGAAAGTGAAAGCTATAAGATGGTTTCACTCATCTGTGGGATGTAAATAACAAAAAATATAGATAAAATACAGTAGGAATAAATCTTGAACTCAGTGAAAGAATATAATGGTTACCAGAGGCAACAGCAGGGAGGGAGGCTGAGGGGGTATTGGCACAGGTAGCTTGGTGGAGAGTGGAATGTACACATATTAAGAACAAAAATGTAACCCCAAAATTAAAAAAGGGAAAACAAGGAAGGAAGAAAGGGAGTATAATTTTTACTGTGTACCAAGGGAGGATCTCATGAGAAGGTGAGAGACCTGAAAGAAGTGACAGGGTCCCCATGGTTAAGTGTGAGGGAGGATGATGGAGGCGCACACCCCATGATGTGGGGGAGGGGATAGCGGACCACACCATGTCACACGCAGGGAGGGTGTCGATGGAGAAAGAGCCTTTCAAGTGGAAA